TATAGCCCTCATTGTGTTGAGGGAAGGCCTCTCAAGCAGCATATTGTACGCCAAAGGTGCATCAACAACCAAAAATTTGACAGAAGTGGAGGTCTGGCAGGGTGGGTCCCCAATTATGAGCACGAGTTGTATTAACGCTAGTGGAAGTACCCTTTCTCCTGAGAACCCCAACAGATGGGTAGTTACTGGCTCGAGCTTCTCTCTGCTTATCTCCATCTTATCAAACGCTGGCGCAAATATGATGTCCGTAGAGCTCTCGTTGTCAATCAGTACTCGATGAACAGTTCTATTGGCAACAATCGCTATTACAACTAAGGGATCATCGTGGGGGTACTGGCAGTCTTCCAGATCTAAGTTTGAGAAAGTGATGGGTATGTCCAGACGTGAAGTCTTGGATACAATATGTATTTCCAACATTTCATCAGCTCTGATTCTACGCAGATGAGCTTTCCTAGCTGAGTTGGACTCTTCTCCTCCTAAAAATCCTCCTGATATTACCCTGATTTCACCTAGGGGTTGCTGATGCTGCACAAGGGCTTGCTGCTAAGGTACTGGGGGTAGTTGAGCTCTGTTCTGATTATCATGGGCGATAAAGCAACGCAACTGCTCCCTTTAGATCAAGAACTCAATCTTCTTCTTTAGCTGAATACAATCATCAGTATGGTGACCGTGGTCTCTGTGGTACTCATAGTACTTCGTAAGATCCCTCTTTTCTGGATCTGCCTTCATTCGGGGAGGCCATCTTTAAGAACTTTTTATTCTGCACCTCATACAAGATCTGGGACATTGTGGCAGTGAGAAGAGTATACTGATGAGGTTCAGACATTGGCTGTAACTCAGGCTGTAGGGGACCTAGGCGATCCCTAACATTTCTCCTCCTTTTTGGGGAACGTTCTCTATCTCTCCTAGGAGATCTGTCTCTTCTTGGAGACCCGTTTCTTTCTCTTTTTTTCCTGGGACTTCGATTCCTTTTCTTTTCCTCCTTCTTTTTTCCTTTCTGTGAAGATGAGTTCCCTACCTTTGAGAGGAGGGCGTCCTCGCCATTTATACACTTCTCTACTTTAGCCAACACCTCGGTCATGCTTGCTTGAGTATTCTTAGATATAGAGAACATCAAGTCCTTCGACTGTACTCCCAATCCCGCGATGAAAGCAGTAATTGCAAACTTTTTATTTAGGATGTCTACCTCTAGGGATTCTGAGTTAAACCTTTGAACATAGGATCTCAGGTTTTCTTGAGGTCCCTGCTTCACATTCAGCAAATGGTAACTCGACTTTCGGTATGTTTGAGCCCCGATGAAATGAGACACAAAAGATATCGAGAGTTCTTTGAAGGAAAAGATCGAGGCCGGGGGGAGCCTGTTAAACCATGCCAAGGCTGACCCTTTTAGGGTTATGGCGAAGGCACGACAACAAACAAGGTCTTGATATCCATGCAGCTCTAACCAATTTTTGTGAGTATTCAGGTGGTCCATAGGGTCTCTGGTTCCATCAAAAGCTTCCATTTGCGGCATTCTGAATTTTGACGAGAAGGGAAAATGCAACAACCCAGGGGTAAATTGGGACTCGATTTGTTGCACCAAGGCATTAATGGTTACTGGAGTTTTACTCCTCACGACCTCCTTCATGTAGCTGAGCTCCTGTTGAATATCTCTGAAGCGCTGCTCCCAGTACTGGTCTTTTCGCTCCTGCTGATCTGGGCGAGGGTTATTCCTCTCATTTCCATTACTTCGGCTCTATACCTCTTCTTTGTCTCTGTTCCTCAGAGGAGGTTGGGGAGTCTGGCTATTTTCTCCTCTTTCATCGACTTCCCTGAATGGATCGAGATGTTGTTGCTCCCTATGAGGAGCCTCATCCTGGCCCCCTTGGGCTGGTTGTTTCTCTTGTGGTCATTGTAAAAGCTTTAGGAGTTCCTCGTTTTGTTTTAGCAGGCGTTGATTGACTAGGCGGAGAGCCTCCAACTCATTGTTTATGTGAGGATCCACCATAGGAGGATTGACACTGGCGGTGGGGAGGAAATCTTGTGGATCTTCATGATGTTTGCTGGTATTTTCCTATTGGTTTTGCACCCGCAGGGGATTTACTTGACTTCTGCTCATATTACGGGTTGAGACCATCAATTACTGAAGGATCAGTGTATTTGCAATGAGAACAATCTTTCCTACAAACGGCGCCAAACTGAGGGCATGAATTAAAGTGGATGAGCAGAAGATTGGAATTATGTTTTGCAACTTGGTTCTGAGCTTCTAGGCTCGTGAGGATCATGATAAAGAATTTTAGGGATTGGGATGATTTACACAGTGAAAATATAGTGGTTCACCAGCTCGAGAGCTCAGCTAATCCACTCTTCAATGGAGATTTTTGCTCATTTTGTTTCAACAAACTGGGATGAAATATACAATCTGCCTTTTACGCAACTAAGTTTTCTCCCTCGTTATTGGAGGCATTATACAGTATTTATAGAGGTGTTCCTTACTCTGTGGGATCTCTACCGAGATCCTAGCCATTCATTTGTGGATTCCTACTTGATTTTTGGAGAGTATCTTGGTTGGTTGAAGGTTTTGCGCCTTGAATATGACTCTTTGCCCCTTGTAGGGTTCCTGTTAACATCCAGTTGTTCCCTTATTATTTTCGCTATTGTCTCGTTTGTGGGGGAGCTCTAGCTCCGGTCCTCTGAGCTCTGCGTGTCTTGCCTGACCTCCTTATCTGACCTCCGCGCCTGAGCTCATACTTAGAAATTATTCTAGATATCATTAGTTCATGTTCAAATATGTTCCATTTCTTTGGTTGTGTATGAAGTACTATTTTTGTAGAGTTGCTATCTATTAAATGAAAATCTTGAACTTGAAGATCTTATTTAGAGGGATTTTTTTTTTATATTCATTAATAAGAATAAGTTCAATCTATTTAGTTGCTTATAGGGGAAAAGATCCAATCTACTTAGTGATCCCTCAACCCTTTCAACAGGGGCAGATCTATGTGTGGCCAATGTTATTTAATTATTTGTTTTGATATTATTTGTTATGCCCACCCTTGAATTGGATGTATATTTGTGAGTTCTTCTAATTGTAAATTCATGATTTGAAGGTAAAATTATTTTTGATTGACCTACAATTGATCTTTTCTTGTTTAAAATTGATGATTGACTTGTTTCAATTGGATTTTAGTGGATAGTATTACCCTCTTAAGTTTTTATTTGATAGCTTTGTAATTTTAATATAAAAATATACAAAGACGTCAGCGTCGATTATAAATAGATGTAATAAGTTTTTCATTTTGCTAAGAGTTGTAATTAATTTCTTTTTATAGTTTTTTCTTCATATAAGACATATATATCAACTTTTGACCCTTTTCAAAACGAGTTTTTACTTATGAGATATAATATATCATCTTACATTTATCTTCTATATCTCCATATACATGTAAATCAAGTGTAATTGACAGTTGACTTCAATATGACTATTTGGTAAATAGTAGTATTATTTAGTAATGACTTTCTTCGTTTGCATAAAAAAACATTTTGACACTAGGCTTTTATAAGATTTTTTATGAGCGGTTTAAATTTTAATGGAGTTTAGATTTGTGATCTACACTATTTTATTAACATATATTAAATACAAGGTCATCTTTGTAAAAACCTAAAGTTATTAATCTCTTTATGCTAAAACCGACCCTAGTTAAAGTGTTCACCCTTAAAGACAGTTTTTGGCTCCGCCCCTGCCTTTGAATGGAGTGCAGCTCAAGTGGATGCATAGTGGTTTATCAAAAATTTTGGGTGTAGCCTGATACTGTGCCATATTATTTGCAATTAGCACGTCAATGTGGATCTATATGCGCAAAACTTGATTACATATTTGTCGGTCATGTCCTCATTTCTTTGAATGTTGCCTTGTGATTCTATTTCGAGACATGACCTTTGTTTTGTGTGGCAGATGAAAGGCCTTTAAGCATCCTTCACCAGCAGCTGAGGTCTAGTTTTGTGCAACACACCACACAAACATATGGGAGAAGAGAAAAGAAAAGACGAAGGAACATTCAAGGAATTAACAAAATAAAAAAGATCAAATTTGACGTGTAAATGCAAGCCCCAACAGAATAAATATATTATGCAGGACCCCTTTTAAAGGGGGGAAGGGCAGCATGGGGGATTCCACAGGTGAGGCCATGGTGGTTATGCATCAGCATGGCACTATGTCCATACAAAGTAATAATAATACCTAAAAGAGCAGATCCATTGAGCTTTCGGCTCTCATATGCCAAGATTATTTCCACACTCATTGCACACCATATTTTTTCGCCACAATTCCAAAAGTTCGTTCCATTCAAACATAATGTTAACATCGAAAAATGGATCCATGTGTAGCTCTGCTAATTTGAGGAATGACAAGATTATTCAGCTGCAACAATGTGGGAAAGTCCATGTCGGGGGAAACTTTACATCCAACCTTTTTAGGATCATGTAATTTGTACTAGTAGCTAATATTCTGTCTTCAACAAAAGGCAATGAATAAGAGATTATCAACTATTTAGAAAATAGGGAACATTTAGCACATTTTTTTTTTAAAATGAGTGAATTGTGTACATACTCTTTGAATGAGGAGCTTCACTTTAGAATAGACCCCGCTCTTAAAACACGGAATAATCAGAAGAGTATAGAGTACATTTTGCATAGCCACATCAGTGATGAAAAAGTAGCAAAAATTTTCCCAATAAGCAACTCAATGGTCTTATGAAGCACTCTGAAGAGAGCTATTTCTTGGCCCTGAAATTAACAAAACATTGAGATCAAATTCACTGGCATACGGAAAAAAAACACACTAATGAAAGCAAATTCACACCATAATTTCAAGCAGGGGAAAAGGAAGAAAATGTAGTGACAAGTTCAGGAATAAATAACAGGGGTAATGGTCAACAAAACCTACAATGGAGTTGCAGCAACACCACCAGAAACACCAATGACGTCTGTAATCCGGAATAAGTTGGGAGTCCAGAGCATTTGATTCACTCTCTTCCACTGTTATCTTCCAGGCATGCTGTTTCTTTAACTTCAATGGTAAAGCTATATTCCTGGTCACAACCCATATACAAGTAGCACATGAAATAAAGAGTGTACGTCATCTTTCCAACTTCTGCAGGAGCATTGAAGTCAAGCTTAACCTTCAACATCCTTTGCAGGGTAACCCTTTTGATGGCAAGTAACTGGTTACTTTTAGTATCACCAACCACAAGCCACCATCCTTCCCCTTTGGCTTTGGGATATCTAGGGGCGTCAACAGGTCCAACCTCTGTCCTCCCTTTAAGATCTCGTTCAAGGGTCACATGCACACGGACTTCTTTTCTGGCCCTAACATTGTCACTGTCCAGCACATCATATGTCAAGTCAATGTTTGGAAAACGATCAAAAAACCTTGAAATATCGTTCAACTGAGACTCTGACATTTGCAATAGCTTCCGCCTTTCATTTTTGTGCATCTCAATCAAATCAAACACTGTTTCTATACTCTTTTGGTACTTTTTAGCCCAATCCTTTGTGAAGTGTGGTAGTTGAAGGAGCATTGAGTCGCGCTCCCAAATGCCTTGGGTCACCATCTGGCTCACTTCCACAGAAAGAAGAGCAAGGCTAAGCCACCCATTGTTGGAAATAACATCAACCATTGCTTGAAGCAGCCTGCTGGGAGAAATGACCACTTCTTGCTGGTCAGAGGAAAGACTACCACTCACCAATTGCCTTGAGAAGTGAGCCTGTAGCAGTGCATTAGCCTTCACATGTAGGTCTATGTATTTGGGGTTCTTCAAGGAAAATCGCTGGTGAAGAATTAATGTGCGAATCAACTCTTCTTCTCCTGGTTGAATTGGAAGTTGTTCATATTCCGAAGCCGAAGCCAGAATCTCTAGGAGACCCTTCAACTTTGTTTTTGATGTCAAAGAAGAACTGAAACGTTCAATTGTTGTGTTACTTATATAATAGTATGATGTTATCATGCTAAGGTTCAATGGAGAAAGTTCAAAATCATCCTCACTAGCAACACATTTACTAGATTCCAGATCTCTAAGTGTGTTCTCTACAAGCTCTGAGAGGTAATCAGAGAGATGCCTATGACTAACACCCTGAAGGTTGTAGTAATTTGGATTCTGAGCAAGCCTCCTATACATGAATGTCCAAGTGAGATAGTCCAGTGCATCTTGCTTGTTTTGAATGACTCCAACAACCACCTCTGTGTTCAAATTATCATGCAAATAATGGTGCAAATGGCTTTCAACTGGGAATGCTTCGCATAAGAACCTCATATAGTGTTCCTTACGTGGCGCATGGCAAAGGATGACACACTTCCCGGAGTTATCTACAAAAGGTTGACTAGCATGACCCATCATTTGCAACAAATCGCTTATTGGGTAGTCAATATGAGCATGTTCACAACCATCATAATATTGAGTTCCCATAACAACAACCAAATGTACAGAGAGAGGCACTCCTCAACACATCGAACTACTAATCACAGAAACTTGGATCCATCCTTTTTCAAATAACTTTTTCACTGCGTCTTGATCTGTAGTGGTTAAGCCCTCATGCAAGTACACCACACCGTATTTCAGTGTCTCTTTCAACATAGGCTCCTTGATCCTGTCAATGAAAGGCTCCAAAACTTTTGTACACTTCAGGAAAAACATCAGTGTCTCTCCACTATCCACACTTGAGTATGTTATCAGATCCACAACAGTGAGACGTGCATGCTTCCTGGTAGGAACAAACACAAAGGCAGGTTTCCCATCCTTGGCATGTTGGACAATTGCAGTATATGTTGGTTTCGTCATCGCCTGCATCCTCGCTTCAAAGTTAGAAATGTTGATGCCCTGAATATGTATTTCCAGAGGCACTGGTTTGACCCCCGGTGGAAAATTGAAAAGGCTGTGAGAGGTAGCTTCAATCCATTCCCCCAGATCCTTGGCATTTGCAAGAGAAGTTGACAAAGCCACTATACGAATCTTGTTCTCAACCTGACTTGCAATATATCTCATTCTAGAGACTATAACCTCCAAAATAGGACCACCTAGGCCACCAATCAAATGGAGTTCATCAATGATGAAAAGACTAATCTGCTATACATGCTTCTGCTATTTCTAGCGGCGGGATAAAGCATCCCATTTCTCAGGAGTGCTAATTATTACTTGACCTTTCTCATGCAGTTTCAAGTCTGTGGCCATTGCCTCGGTTAATTCAGCCACTCTCATTCCAAGAGCCTCTCTGAACTTCCTCTTCCAATCATTATATCGTTCCTTAGCAAGAGCTTCAATAGGAGCAATATACATAGCACGCGTGAAACCCTCAGGTATTTTCTGATGATTCCTCAGTATGGCAAACTCGGCACATGTAGTCTTCCCACTCCTAGTTGGTGCTGCAACTAAGACATTCTCATCTGTGTTGTATAATACAGAGAAAACCTGAGTTTATACAGGATTGAAGTGCTTGAACTCTTGATAAAGGGCTTCATACAAAGGATGCCTTAAGCTAGTCACTGGCAGTGGCTGCAAGTCCAATAATTCATTGGGTGGAGGACACTTTTCTGGTAAGATAAGGTGCCTGAAAGAAACAGGCAACACAGTCTGTGAACCAAGCCATGTATCCGACACAACACGAAGGAAGTATTGACGAGGTTGTGGTTCATAGATTGGGACAGTAAAAGTCAAAGTGTGGTCCTTGTCAACATATTTCTTCTTTAGCATTATATATTCATAATGAAGAATATATTCCCCATTGCTATCTTCCATAAGGACCCAAAATGGCTCTACAAATCCATGGACTTTGTCTTCCCACTGAAAGTCTGGTGTGATGGTCAGTTCAACCCTCAAAACTAAGCGAGTAATTGGCTGAACATGTGCTGCTAGTTTAAGATTTGGCAACTGGTGAATGAACTTGTGAAGTGTTCTTCCCATCGTAGGGACACGAATGAGCTCACCTATCTCCTGTGAAGACATATCATAATACCTTTCCCAAGCCAAATCTTTCTTCTCCAACATCATTAAAATCTCATTTGGAATCCCATGGAATTTGCGTAGCGGCATTTGGACACTCCACATTCTCTTGTTAATAATTTTGCACAATTTTAAAGCCTTCTCAGCTAATTGAGCCCATCCCTTTTTGAAAACGATCTCAAACAGAGCTCGCATGAGACGTCCTGCACTCTACAAAAGTAAATTACAAACATAAACAAAAAGTGTGCGCACATTTATACGACTTTTTTAGCTCGAAAAACAAACATCTAACAACTGAATAAGGGTAAATTACATTTTACATTCTCTTGGCTTAAGGTAACACTTTATCTCCTTATAGTTCAGAAGCCTACTATTGTACCCCTTGTGGTTTTCACCATGTGATCACTAGAGCAACTATTAAAATTGACGGTCAAAGACGAAAATCCTAAAATTTTCAATATAATGACTTGTCAAAATAACTTTTACACTCTAGAACATATCATATTCTTCCAATTTTCTCTTTAGAATAAACCAATCTATTTCTCTCTTCTTCTTTTTCTAGGGATATAAGTAGATTTTTCCATTAATAAAATTTCTTATGGGGAAAAGATGCTAAAAATTTTAAAAGATGAAGGGTACCATTATAGTTTTGCAGTAAGTTGTTAACCTGTTGGCTTTTGGTCCTAAACTTTAAATGTGTTAGTCATTGGTTTTTGAAATATAAGAGAGGTAAATTGCTACAGCCTAAAATCACAAGGTGGTAAAAATAAAAAGTAATGGATTCTTGAATTCACTTATAAAAGAGGCCTAAAATAAATTGCTATAACAAACCTGAGTAATGAACACCATGTCAGATGTTAGAGAAAGTCCTTCAAGCTTTAGCTGCGAAATATATGCTTGGAGTAAAACGTTAATCTTCGCAGTTGGTTCTTCTAGACTCTCCTTAATAGGAATGGGAACACGATCTAAAAGCTTTGCCAGTTCCATCTTTTCATCTTGTCTCACAGTCACATATTTGAACTCTTCACTAAGGGAGAACAATTGATAAAACTCAATATCCCCCATTGTTGGTTTCAAATGCTCATTGTATGTGGCTATAGTCCCATGAGTAATGTAATAGTAGCTAGCAATGCAACCCAAGTCAGTAACCTGGAAATACCCAGGTTTCCTATCATACTTAACCAGGTTATTTTTGTCTAATATTGTTGCCGCAGAATGAACCTGCAAATACCATTGGACCAAGTCAAACATTAAAGAAAAACGAAAACATAAGATGAACAGACAGAAAATATAAAGTCTATGATGAACTTCTTAAGTTCTTAACTTTGTAAGACCTGTAAAGGAATTATCATGTCGAGATAGAAAATTGCACATGTGAAACTGATGAAAACAATGTTTAGTTCCAAAAAAGGCAGAATAGTGAAATGCAATCAAGCACGTAGAAGCACCTCAATTTGAATGAGATAATCAACAGAGGATAAGAAAATAGTCAAAAACAAGGCCTCGATACATGTTCTACAAAGTATCTCTTTTAATCCCAGCATAGCATAGCAGTAGAAACATTGGAACTACACGCTGGGAAACTCCCCCCTTACCCATATCCCTCTCCACCCTGACCAAGGAGGGATTTGATTCTTAGGATTGGTTCGATTACATAGAAACTTTACAAGACAGGCCAGCTGGGACATTCAAATCTGTAAAGCACAGCACACACACAGGGAATAGATGCTACATGCTACACAATAAGACACAAAGACATGACATATCATAAAAAATAGGACACTAAACATGGCTAGAACATGTTATACACAATTGTGTCTCATATTAAACTATAGTGTTTTTCTATGTACAAAATTTACTGCTCATCCTCCTAACCTTCTTCAGTAGTAAAATATAAAGCACGGATACAAGATACGGATATGGATACAGATATGATACAGATATGGCAATATGACAAAACTATCAAAGAACCAAGATGGAAACTATCAACTTGATCTAGAGGAGAATCAGACAAATGACCACAACTATGGAGAATGATTTGAGCAGAAGCTAAACAGACAATCAATATTCTAATATCAGAACAAAGGATGCCAAAAGAAGCTAAACTACAGCGTCTAGTGCTTACCAAATTGGCTCTTCTTTCCTCCAATAGTATATCCTGTGTCAGCGCATCAAGTGCTAAGCCATAAAGCGTAGGATTTTGTAACATGTGAACATAAAGGTAAGTATAACTCAGCCAATTACACGCATCTCTAGCATTTTGAACAGTTCCAAGGACGATTTCTGCATTCATCTGATCATCCAATTTGGGCACAAATTGACTTTCAATAGGAAGTTGTTGATTCATCAAAGAAAGATAATACTGCAACTCACCATGTCCAGTTATAATGATTCCTTCCCCATAGGAATCGTATTGAGGCCTCCCTGCACGACCAAGCATCTGCATAACATCCAGCGAACTCAGCTCAGTCCATGCTCCTTTTTCAGGATTGTAAATTTGTGTGTCTTTAATTATAACAGTGTGTGCAGGTAAATTGACACCCCAAGCAAGAGTTGTTGTGGAAACCAACACTTGAACATGTTTATCACCAAATAGCTCCTCAACAAGCTGACGATCAGACCTAACCATCCCTGCATGATGAATTGTGAAACCATAGGGCAACAGGTCTTTCAGATCAGTGCTCTTGACCAGATCTGTATGGCTTTGAAGAATTTCACGGCTCACACCATCCTCTTTCAAGAATTTACTGAGAGTGTCTTTAGAAAGTGCAGCATCTCGAATTGCTCGGGCTGTTTTTGCTGTTTCTTTCCTTGAGTGGACAAATATAAGAATCTGATGCTTTCCTGCTTGGCTGATTACCTTATCATAACACACATCATTCATCAACTGGAATCTCTGCAAAGGCTTCTTCACTGTGATACCAATATATTGTTGAGCAAGAGGGACAGGTCTATAGCTATTATCAAAATGGAAGAGTCCTTTCTTCAAATCAACTCGCAAAAACAATGCCACATCTTCATAGTTTGGGAGCGTAGCTGATAACCCAACAAGTCGAATTTGTTCTTTTGTGGTCTCAATTTGCCTGACAGTTCTTGAAACAATACTTTCAAGTATAGGTCCTCTGTTATCATGCAGAAGATGGATCTCATCAATGATGAGAAGTTTCACAAGCTGAGTATAAGTGCGATCACCTGACTTTCTGGTTATAATATCCCACTTCTCAGGGTTTTGTCAATAATCTAAGTTTCGTCAATTTGTTGACGAGTCAGTGTCTGGTCCCCATTGAGCTCCTTCACCAGGACACCATATTGCTACAGACGATTAGAGAGATTGCCAACTCTCTCATTAACAAGGGCCTTCATTGGTGCCACGTAAACAATCTTGTAATTGGTGTGGTTGAAAGACCCATCTTCAGTCGTGTGCAATGCAATCTGCTGAAGTATTTTGAGCATTGCAACATTAGTCTTCCCTGCCCCAGTGGGAGCACACAGAAGAATATTTTCTGCTGAGAAAAGTGCAGTCTCATAAACTTTGCTCTGGACTCTGTTCAAATGGGTCATCCCTCTGAAAGCGGGTTGTGCCCAGTCTGGCATAGCAAAAACCTTTACAAGCTCTTCACCGGCAGCAAGGGATTTCGGTTTCAATGCCGGCACATGAACCTCCTCATATCCCTTGTTATTATGATTTCTGTAAAACCCCACTGGAAGCTTACACTTTTTGTGTGTCATCAACAGACCGCCTTGGTGAAATGATAGGACATCAAGATCAAGCAATTGATGTTGCCCCTTCAACCAACCATTGTCCGCATCTCTGTCCACTAGGTCCCTTCGTTCCTGATCCCCATTTGCACCACTCTCATCCTTCAACTGGCGAGCCTCTTCTCTTATGCTCTTCTCCAAGTTTTTCTACCTCTCTTTCGCAGAGGCCCTTGTGGCATGCAACTGCTCCAGAATCGCAGAATGATCTGGCTCCAGACCCATCATTTCCTCTTCAATCTTCTTCCTCTTCTCTTGGTCCTCAGCCCTAGCCAAGCGGATACACCACACAATCTTCAGCAGGTTTCGCAACAGGTACTTAATGAGATTGAACTTATTGAATTGGAGATACACCAACAACTTGGTTTCAACTACACGACCATCAGCGTCAGCTAAAATTTTAAGTACTTCTTCAGCAAGTTTCTGGCTCTGTTGTGGATCAATCTGTTGCTTGTAAGCCTGAGAAATCTTCCTCTGAAGCCAATAAGCATCAATGTCCTGAACATTCAGTGTCATTCCCTCATTAGCTTCCTGCATATCATCATCATCAATCCCACCACCCATCTGCATAGTCGCAGCACCATTTGCATCCAGCACACCATCTTCCTCTTCTTCATCCTCCTGTTGTACTATATCAAGATCAGTCTCTTCCTCCTCCTCCTCATTCTCTTCAAACTCAACAGCAACACCAAAATCATCATCAAGAGCATCATCGGAATTAGCCAAAGGAGACCTATCTTTGTTACCCCCATCCTGGTAATTAGTAATAAGCCTCCCGATTAAAACCAGTTGATCAAAGACACGGTTTGGTATGGGGTTCAATAATTGCTCTATTTCCTTCTTCTTCTTCTCAGCGTTTTTGATGGTCTCGTTCTTCAGGACAGCCAATATCTCATCGGCCGCCTCACTAATAATATTCAGTGGCTGACCACCCAACTGCTGTTGCATCACACTGAGCATGGCCTCATAAGCGGCCATAGTCTCCTTGGTCTTGGGCTGGTAAACACCTTCGTCGGTGGATATCAGGACGCTTTCTTCCTCAAGGCGTCATCTTTTCTTGCTCTGCCGACTAGCAGTGGATTCAGAAGGAAGTGGTTCCCGTTCCTTCTTCTTTTTAGACTTGTTCAGTTTCCCATCCATTTCAGGTGGTATACGCCTATAAGCACGATCACCAAAGGTTTTAGGGTCAATTTTACCATAGAGGGACTCAGACTCGCCGGTGGGCTAGTGTGTATCGCGAGGGCGAGAGTCGGTGGTTAGGATAAGACTGGAGTTGGCTCTATATTCGTACTGCTTGTATCGGGCGTGTGCTTCCGCGCCACCGCCTACATGTGCCATCCCGAAACGTCAAACCAAATCCCAAAAACCCTAAAGCACAACAAACAAGAACAGAACACAAAGAGGCCCTGGTTATATATAGTTTCAAGTACGTGAGAAGAAGAAGTAAACTAGCGACCAAAATTGAAAAAAAAACAAAAAAAAAGCCCTAGATGATTGCTAGAATGGTTCTTTGATGTGCGTATCGAAACCAAATTGACGAACATACTATGTACCATAATAATTATTTCAGATAAATATGAGAAATCGTAGAAAGAAAGAATGATTAATAGAGAATAAAACTCACAGGCTCCCAGGAACAACGTATGTTACTACGATCCTCTTGCTTTGTGATCCAGAAAATATAAACGAGAAAGAATAATATTGGACGAGGAAAAAAATCAAAGGATTGATTTGAATGAACGATGTATCTTCTTCTTGCAAAAAATAGCTAAATTATCGCAGTAAGGGTTCTGAGTTCTGAAGTTAGTAAATTGCATGTAAGAGTGCACGTCTTTTAGACTTACATATACCCGCATATGTGGAAAAAAAAAATTTATTTTTAATTATTAATATAAAATTAATGATACCTATCTATTATTTTCGTTCCAAGTTGATTTCCTAAGCTTATTTGACTTTTAAGTACTTTTGGACTCTTTTATAAACAATAATTAACTTCTAAATTCTTTTGAAACTCATTTATTAATAATATATTTACCTATAGTTTTTTATATTTATGTCTATATTTCTACGAAGAAATAAAATATAATCTATATTTTATTATTATCTATATGTATAGTTGTTGGATAGGATTCTACAATCAAATATACCTCATATATAATTTTTTGGTATACTATAATGTCATATTACTAGTTATTATTTGTGCCTAAAGAAACAAAATAATAAAAAAAATGGTAAACAATAAACATATTAGTATTCATATCCAAAATTAAATTACAATCATCAAGAAGAAATAACAAAATTCAATTTGTAGTGGGGGTGAGAGGTGATGGGCAGTAGTGGTGGTGGTAGAAGACAATGATGGTTGTGGTGGGTGGCAATGACTGTGGTGGTGACAAGGACTGCAGCGATGGGGGTGGTGGCGGCGGCGATGGTGATGGTGGTGGTGACTGTAGCGGTGACGGTGGTAACCAAGACAGTGGTGGCGGTGGTAGGGGTAGGGGTAGGGGTGGTGGCAGCGATGGCAACAACGACGATGGTAGTGGCGGTGGCGGTGGCAGTTACGGAGGCGGTGGTGGCGACGGTGGTGGTGGTGGTGGTGGTGGTAGAGGTAGTGGTGGAGCAGTTTTAAACACTATTTTTTTAAATATTTATAAGTTATAATTTTTAGAAGTATTTTTAAAAAGTCACTTCAAAAATACTCTTAGAGACCTATTTTTTCAGTTAAATTTTGGGTGTTAATATTAGCCGTTAAATTAACTTTAAAATAAAATTTAAAGCAATCTCAACCACGAATAACAAAAATCATTTTGTTTATCTTTTAAAATTTGAATTATAAGTTATTTTATTATATAGATTATAATACAAACAATAATAGTACAATTTAATTAATCTCTTCAGCAAAAAAAAAAAAATATAATGTAATTAGATGTGTAAATGCTGGGAATAAAAATCTTACAATTAAATTTTATTATAAGCAAAAGAGGAAATGTCTTGAAGAGATACCTAAACAAATGATAAATTAGATATACTTAAAAAGGGGTAAAATAGATCTCTAATTAGGTTTGACAATAATTAAAATAAAAATTAATGATTTTCACACATAATTTAATATTAAATTTAATTGCATATATAATTAAAAAAATTTATAACAAAATTATTATTTATATATAATCACGTGTTACCGACTCATTTGCATGACACATTTCAGCACTATATCAGCGAGAAAGAATAATATTGGACAGGAAAAAATCAATACCTTCAAGATGTGAATGTGGAAATCGAGCAAATCAGGGATTGAATTGAATGATGTTTGGATGTATAAATTAACGCAGTAAGTTCTGAGTTTTTAAGTTAGTAAATTGAATTTAAAAGCATACATATCTTAGACTTATCTATATGTATATCTATACTATTTATCTATATCTATACTACTTATAAATGTTAGTATATATGAAAAACTTTTGATTTCCTATTTTATCTCTAATTATTATAATAAAATCAATTATACCCACCTATATATTTTCATCTAATTTTTATTTTTTACACATATCTGACTTTTAACTTGTTTTAGACTCTTTTATAAAGATTTCTAAATTCTTTTAAAATCATTTATTAGTAGTACAGTTACATACAATCGTCTATATCTATATGAAGAAATAAAGTATTATATATGTTAAATTATTATACACATGTAGTTACTAAGTTAAATTTTATGGTCAAATATGTGAATAAATTAATAATTAAATTTAGCAATAATTAAAATATTGATTAATTATTAAATACCTAATTTATTATTTTATTTAATTACACATATAATTATTGTTTTCAAGAAACATAATATTATTTAAATTTAGTTACGTGCAATGTCCTACATTGCTAGTATTTATTAAAAGGGATAAACTATACATATGACCTCTAAACTATGACTCTTATATTAATTAATCTTTTTTTGTTTTGGTCAATTGAGTACCTAACTCGCTAATTGTATCAATTGAACCTCTAACTCGCTAATTATGTCATGATTGTCTCCATTAGATTTTCTAATAGAAAATGGTAGAGGGTGCCAATTATGTGACTGGATTGCAGCTTATTTATGTCACGCAAGTGGCATACTTCACCAGACATTTTCAGTTAAAAAATTTAACAAAGATAAATAAAATGATTCAATTGATATAATTAAAAAGTTCATATTCTCAATTGACCAAACAAAAAAAATGAATTACCGTTTTAGCCTTCAAATTGTCTTGAGTCACCTCTGCACAAGGGTAATTATTTGAGAGTCACCTGTTAAGAAGAAGCCTACTGTTAAGATCTTGACACAAATTCATTTTGTTGTCCAGTGGGTTTTCCTACGTAGTGGATTTTCATACACAGTGGGTTTTCTTGAGTTGTTTATCAAACTGCTTAATTCTAATTTTGATATACTTTTAAATATATTATTACTTGAGATCTTGGTATTCATTTGTGAACGATCAAGAGTTGTTCAAGACACCTCTATATTTGCGAGTGCACCCTTGTGGAGAAGCGATAATTGAATCTTGGAGGATAGGACACCATAACATGTTGCACTGGGTTTCGTATTCAGAGGGGGCGAAAAATTATTCTTAAGGACAGTGACTACATGTTTCTATCGATAAGTTTTTTATTTCTTATTTATCATCTAATTTGTAGTATTCTTGAATTGAAATTTTTTACAACAATCTTAAGAATAGACCAATATGGATGCTACAATTATAAACAAGGTTATTCTTGATGTGACAAAAATTGAGCATTTCAATGGGTCTAATGTTCAGCGTTGACAACAGAGAATTATGATGTTACTTGATATAGTAAGTGTTGCATTTGTTTTGACTAATTTAAAGCCCGAAAAAAGATACAAAAAATTATGTAAGAGAAAAAAAAATGGAAAAAAGGTTGATAAGGATTGTCGGAATGTTATCTTGAATGCTTTATTAAATGAATTGTTTGATGTTTATTATCATTATAAGCATGCTATGGAGATTTAAGATAGTTTGGTGAAAAAGTATATCGTCGAAGATGTGGAGATTAAAAATTATGCAATAGGAAATTTCTTAGACTATAAGGTGGTTGAGGAGAAGAATGTGTCTCCTCAAATTCATGAGTATCATTTGATTATTAATGAGTTGAGGAATGAAAAAATTACTTTACTTGAGTCCTTCGTAGTCGATGCTTTGATTGAAAAATTATCCGATTCTTGAAAATTTTACAAAAACAATCTTAAACATAAAAGAAAGGATATGTTTTTGGAAAATGTGATTATCAATATTAAGATTGAGGAGAAAAATCATTTGAAGGATAAAATTGAAAAGGCCAAGGAAAATGTCTCTAAGGCCAATGTTGTGGAGACTACGAATAAGCCTCAATATAAGCATAGGAAAAAGAATCACAATGAAAAAAAATCTCCATAAGGCACAAGGTTCTAGTTTTAAGAAGAAAGGTAATTGTTTTGTTTGTGGAAAGGCAGAACATTATGCTCAAGAATGCCGACACCGAAAGCGGAACAACAAACCTACCAAGCCGAATGTCAATTTAGTTGAGGCGGATAATATTATTCTTGCGGCCGTATCCGAGGTTAACGTGGCTACTACTACAAAAAATTGGTTGATAGACTCTGGGGCTATCAAGCATATTTGTGGCAATAAAAGTGTTTTTACCTCCTACACACCTGGGGGGATAGATAGGAACAAGTGTTTATGGGTGACTCTAGATCCTTGACTATTATTGGTAAGGGAAATGTGTTATTAAAATTGACTTCCAGAAAGATCCTCTCATTTTCTGAAGTGCTTCACGTGCCTAATATATGTTGGAACTTGGTGTTGGTATCTATCTTGAATAAGGTGCGAGTAAAAGTAACATTTGAGAATGAGAAGATCATTATGACCAATAATGGAACATTTGTTGGGAAAGGTTACTGTAATAAGGATCTTTATGTACTAAATGTTATTGAAGTTATGAAT